TGGTGTTTTATTCATTTCTTTTAAATGCCAAAAATATTTGCTTAGAGATGTCTGATTTCTATTTCTAATGTTATTGAAGGAGCTTTTATGTTGTCTCCATCTAATTTTGAATTCATTCTTCGTTGAACCAATGTATATCCTATCGGTGTTAGGACTCTCAATGGATGAGATAGTGCATTGGTATACCACAGACTTTATGTGGCATTTATTTTCCAACGGGAAGTCTTCAGGGTTTCTACAATCCCATAATTTTTTATTATTTTTGTCTAATTTTAGTTTAGGATTTTTATTAATACTATTTTGGCGCGCGTGTGTTCCCAGGATTTTATTATGTTTTTTTTTTTTTATGATTCTTTCTAGATTTTCAGTGAAACTGTAACTTAATTTTAAGGTGTTTTTATTAAAGATCTTGCTAAGTCTGCTATTAGTAGGAAAGTGTTTTTCGATTAAAGCTAGGAACTCATGCCCTAGCTTAGTACTAACCATTTGGTTTGAAGGGAAGGGTATACCAGATGATTTTTCTTTTCCTGTTTTTCTTTCTGTTAGTGCTATTTTTTCTATAATTTATGGTAGCGTTTTTGTATCCGCTATTTTTTAGGGCTGTGTTATAAAAATTATATAACGGCCTTTTATATATATATATATTAAGCAATACACGGACAAGAATGTGATGATAAACCTAACCTAAACAAAGTAAACTATGAAATCTCCACAAATATTCTTAATTGTCTATAACAGAAGCGATTGGTTTATACTAACGGCTTCCCATACTTAATACTTCTCGAATTCACTCTCGCGTGGTCATGTGTGACGTCACGAGCTGCGGTGCGATTTTCACTTCCAGCGTTTAATATGCACGTGTTTATCGTTGCTTGGAAATCATCCATGTAAACAGAAACAGACTATCTTCACAGTTTTATCCGTGTATTGCTTAATATATTGTACAGTAATTGTAGTAAAGCTTAGATTGGATTTAAAAAATATATGTATCAATCTTGTGATTTTCTTTCTTCGTTTAATGATAATGTTATTAAGCTTATCAGGCGATATGAAAAGAATTTACATAAAATAAATCGACAACACTTGTGTATATTATTTAATGAAACATGCATCAATATATATATATATATATATATATATATATATATCTGGCAACTCGTACTCGAGGATACCTGTCTACTGGGAGGGGGGTCTAGCCAATCCCTATTGCAGACACTTGATCAGTCGCATTTGTGTTTGTTCAGCATCCGCTGAATCCACTTATGGTTTATACTGCAACTAGGCTGAACAGACATTCGTTATAGTTTCTGAGAGAGTTATCTAGCGTGATAAATAATTTGAACATGGCCAGCACGCTCAATCCTCGGCCACGATGACTTGTGCCTTCGTGCTAGCACATTTATCGATGCACCCACCCCAAATGGTACTGTCTACCCAATTTCTCTCACAAGGCTTGGGTTAACCCGTGGTATGGTTGTCATGCACATTCCAAAGGTTCTGCACGCACAAGCCCTCGGCCACGATGACTTGTGACTTCGTGCTAGCACATCTATCGATGGCCCCCGAGGGTTTCGTCTATCCAATTTCAATCATAAGCCTTCGATCAACCAGAAGCATGGTTTTCAAGCACTTTCCAAAGGTGCTGCTTGCTGGGATCGACCCCTCTAGCCCTTCCTGGCCAATCGACCATGGTGAGATTCGAACCCGTGTCAGACTTCCAACGTTCTAACCACCCAGCCGCGTGCCCATATACACACATACACATATATATACACACATATCCACATCTATATACACACACATACATATATATACACACACATACACACATATATATATACACACATATACTCATCTAATATACACACATACATATGTATACATACGTACACATATAAATATGTATACACACATATATACACAAAAACATACACACATATATATATATATACATATAATTATAGATAACTAGACTCGTTTCGAAAACCCCTCGAATTTTTGATTTGCTAATAATCAAATCAATCTCGAGGGAAAAAAAGGTTTTAAAAAAAGAAAGAGCTAAAAACATGAACTTCCGCCGACAAAAAAATCGCACAGATGCAGGTCTGAAGCCCAAAGAAAAAACCCCGATACGAGTAAACAACTAACTAACAAAAAAGCGCTCAATACAACCGTAGAGCAGACATATATATATATATATATATATATATATATATATATATATATATATATATATATATATATGCATACATGCATACACACACATGTATAGAAGAGTAACTGTTTAAAACTTGGGCTTTTACCAAACTGCATAAAATAGGTTCTTCATGGTGTTATTTCTATTCTATGTTTGTTGAGTAGAGTCCTGATTTTTGGAGCTTGACTCTAATTTCAAACGTTAAGCTTTAGTGTCGACGGGAGAGTTGTATTTTCGCGAGAGAGCTGTTCGTTTAAAACCAGAGAGACTTCCATTTTCCAGTCCTCCATAATGGGTCATCGAGTCTATGACGAAGCGAGTTAAGATAGCTGAGCTGAAAGCCGGCGGCTGTGCGTACATTCTCGAGTGCCTTAAAGCACAATCCACCCGAAAGAATGATGCTTGGAGATAAGTGATTAAATTCCATTACTACCAAAGGAAGGAATGAAAAAAAAGTAATGAAGAATTCATAATTCGAAGACCATTGCAATATCTTTTTAGTTTTTTTCTCGAATGAAATGATTCTTTGTACAAAGAGTTGCTCCAGGCCTTCATTCGATGTTTGATCGAATATCATCTGGTTGTGGCATTTCTGATGTTATTTTTATTTTTTTTTTTGGAATAAGTTTTCGATCTCTGGGAAACATGGAACATAAACGAGGACTATTTTGTTGGATTTCCAAAGTCCAAGATTTTATTTCCATTGTTTTGTGTCTTTTATTTAAATTTCCATGTTTCGGAAAACAGAGTGGCTGGAATTGGGTTGACATCGATCAGAGTTAAAAGTGAATGAATGATTGAAAAATTGGACAAAGAAAGAGAAAATGTAAAGAATGAAGCAAAAGTTAAGAAAGAAAGGAAAATCAAAGGAAGAACGGAAGCGGGGTGTAACGAAGAAAAAGAAAGAAAGGAACGAATGAAGGAAGAAAAGAGAAAAATGAGAAAAAAAATCAATGAATGAATGAATGCGAAAAGGCGACGAAAAATTTAAAAAATCAGAGAGAGAACGAAAGAAAGATTGAGCTAATAAAGGCAGAGTAAAAAAGAAAGAAAGAAAGAAAGAATGGAGGAATGCAAAAAATAAAGGGAAAGAAAATAAGAAAAATAAAAGAAAGGAAAAATGAAGCGTAAGAAATAAAAAAAGAAAAGGAAGAAAGAAAAGAAAAGAAATTTTCTTTCTTTTCTTTCTTCCTTTTTTTATCTCTTACACTTCATTTTTCATTTCTTTTATTTTTCTTAAGAAAGAAAGAAAGAAAGAAAGAAACTAAGAAAAAGAAAATGAATAGAAATAAAAAAGAAAGAAAAAACAAAAGGGAGAAAGAATGAATACGTAGAATAAAGGGAATATAAAAAGAAAAAAAAGGGAAGTAAGAAAGAATGATAAGAAAAGAATAAAGAAAGAGAAAAGAAAGAATGAGAGAATGTAGAAAGAGAAAGTAAGGAAGGAAATGAAAGAAAGAGAAAAGTAAAAAGAAAGAAGGAAGGAAAAATAGATGGTAGCAAAATGAATTACTGTAATTCCCCATATATAATACGCCTTCATCCATAATACACACCTCCTAAAATTGTGCTGAAAGTGTCGAAAAATGCTTCTACCCACGCATAATACGCACGCCTTGTTTGGTAATGAAACCTTATAAATTGTACCTCTCCAATTTCATTACAGCCAGAGTTTCCTACTCTTATGGTTTTAAACATAGAATAAAATTATTCTAATTTAGTTTTATGATAATTCTTATTTTATTTTACGGCAATTTTTTGAAGATATTTTATAGCTGTGCATAATACGCACCCCTGATTTTGCTTATTAGTTTTTAGAAAAAAATGCGTATTATACATGGGGAATTACTGTAAGACAAGAAAAAATGGAAAAGAATAAATAGAAAAGAAAAATGTCGAAAGAAAAAGAATAAGGAATAAACGCAAAGAAAAAACGGAAGGAAACAATTTCCAAAAGAAGAAGAAATGAAGAAAAAAGGGAGAAAAATAAAAATAAAGGAGAATTTTAAAAAGAATGAGAGTAAATTAAGCGATAAATGAATAAATAAATAAGTAAATGAAGAAATAGAAAAAAAGAAAGAAAAAAGAAAAATTAATGAAGAATCACAAGCGAAACTGAAAAAAAAAAATAACGAAAAGAAAAAATAGAAAAGGCGAAGAAAAGTGAAACCAATGAAGGATCAAAGATAAAATAAATAAAAAAAAAGGAATGAATTAATGACAGAGAAATAAAAAGAAGAAATTTGGAAAAGGAGAAGAAAGTATGAATGTTAAATATGAGTGAGAAAGAAAGAAAGAAAGAAAGAAAGAAAGAAAGAAAGAAAGAAAGAAAGAAAAGGTGTGATGAAAATAACAAGAAATAGAGAATATGAAAGTGAAGGAGAAAGCAAAAAAAAAAAGAAAAAAAAAAGAAAGAATGAAAATAAAATGAAAACGGGAAAGAAAGTAAAATTAACCAAGAAAAGAAAACGAAGATCAATAGAAAGAGTTTTTAAAAAAAGAGAGAAAAATGAATTACAAATTAAAAGAAAAGAATTTAAATGACTAAAAAAGAAGAAAGAAAGAAAGAAAGAAAGAAAAATAAAACAAGAAAGAAGAAAAAAAAAACGGGAATGGAAGCATCAGTTACGATTTCGACTCTCATCACAACCTCGCCACACTTTTGTGTTTCTGCTATGTCGCAAGTTTGTTTTTATAAGAAGGAATTAAACAACGGGTTGGAAAGGAAAAATCTTAAATCAAAACAGATTGGTTTTAAATTCAGTGTTTTTAAGAGGGAGAAACGAAAGAAAGAGGGAAGAAGTCAAAAGAAAAAAGAGGGGAAATAAAACAGGAAAGAAGAGAAATTAAAAAAGAGGAGAGAAAATGTAAGTAGAAAGACGACAAGAAAAATAAGTGGAAGAAAAACAGAAAGAAAGAAGAAAAAAGAAAAGAGGTGGAAAGAAAAGGAAGAAGAAAAAAGAAGAGAAAAGAAAGAAAAAGAAAAAAGAAAGAAAACAATAAAAAAAGAGGGAAAGAAAGAAAAGAAGAAAACGTAAGGAAGAAATAAAAAAGAAAAAGAAAGAATGAAAAAGAAAGAAAATAAGAAAACAATAAAAAGAGGGGAAGAAAAGAAAGAAAATATAAAGAAAGGAAGAAGAAAAGAAAGAAAGAAAGAAAGAAAGACAGATAGAAAACAATAAAAAAGAAAGAAAGAAAACAATAAAAAGAAAGAAAGAAAGAAAATGAATTTAAGGAAGGTTATATTTTCTTTTTAAATCATTTTTTTATCTTATTTCGACTGGAGAAAGAATAAAACAATAAAGAAAAAAGAAAAAAGAAATTGACGTGAGTTAAGGAAGTTAAGGTAGATTTTTGTAGAAAAACAAAACAAAACTGTCATGGGTCCTTAAAAAATAAGTGTCTAGAAAAAACACAGTACAAGAAATGGAAAAGATATAAGATAAAAACAAAAAGCAGAAAAGTGAAGGAGTATTTAAAAAAAAATACAATTGGACGTCAAACGAATTAAAAGAAACAAACTAATTGGTGCGAATTAAACTTCATCTTGTAAAAAACATTTTAAAATGGCATGAAAAACCGATAACAATACCTTCTAAAAAAATATTGATAAATGAACCTGCGACTCATTGAAATTTCTTCCCTGTTGATTCGGATAAAATGATTAGTCCGTGCTTTTATTCATCATCATTGTTAGTTTGTTAGAACATGAAATCCATAGAAATTCGACTTTATGTTTGATCTAAAAGTGTCTAACATTTTCTTTTTTTTTAAAAAAAAACAAAAAAAACTTCTCTTCATATGAATTCATGGCAATAATGATAGAGCAATGATTCTCAAAGTGGGGCGCATGCCTCACCGGTGGTGCATGGTAATATTTTGGTGAGGTATGCGTAGGTTGTGCACCCTTCGGCTTCAAGAATGAGTTATTAACAGTGAATTGTTTTCTAGTGAGCTCAAATTTCATTTTGCATAATTATTTCATGATTAAAATGATCAAAGTATATTACTTTCGTTCAAATATTTTATATTTCTGCCTTTCATTTCTCTATTATATGTTTTCAAAATATATATATTTAACTGTCTTTTTGGTTTTTTGTTTTTGTCTTTTTCTCTTTTATAGGGCCTTTGGGGGTTTGTTTAATGGCCTTTCAAGCTTATGTAAGAATTAAATATTACAGGGGTCACCAGAAATTTTAGAAATACCAAAGTGGCGCATGGCCCAAAATCGGTTGGGAACAACTTTGATAGAGAAATGGTCTGTTCCCAGAAAGGAAACATTCGGAAATCAATAACTGAACATTTAGTGTCATTGTTGGTTGACATTTTTTTTTTCAAGTGGTTTTTCAGGAAATTGAATTTCTCAAGTCCATTAACTACTATAGCACTTTCTAGAAATAACGGGAGTTTACTTCCAAACCTTTTTTTTTTAGTGGTGTGGAAAGTTAGCAGCTTGATTATATTATTATTTTATTTTCGAGTTACATACTCCCTTTTGTTGTCGTAGCTGTTGGAAGTGTTCAAGGGATGTGTCTTTTGTTATTTGGAAAAAAGTTTTGTGATTTTTTGACGCCATTCTATAGGATCTGTTGAAAGATTGTCTTCCCTAACAGGATTACGCACGTTGTCATCGAGCCCAGTTGTCCAGAACTAATTTTATTAGCATTTTGGAAACGAGCGCCGAATAGTTGCGTTATCACGTTCTTTCCAGGCATCCTTTCCTTTTCGAGCATTTATAAGTGAAGAGATCTATTCACACATAAAATCTTGTAATTACAAACATCAGGGGGCTGTGTAGAGCTCTCGAGACGGCATGGCACGGAATCTCTCCAGAGACTTTTCGACCTCTTTGAGAATTTATTCAATGATAAGCGGCTGGGGTTAGGGAAGGTGTCACAGAAGGAGTCAGAGGAATCAGAATGTAAAATAAAGATATACACTATTGACATTGTTCGGACAGTTGTCCTTATCTTTACTGTCATATACACGACGTTTCGGCCGTTGTACGCTCCAGCCTTCTTCAGGTGATATGTTGGAATTTCGAACCGAACCCTTTATTTCGTCCACCAGAGTAGATTGTTCTAGTTCCACGTGCCATGCCTTAAATAAAAGAACAAATAGGAAAATTATATCAGGCTAACATGTTTCAGTTTTATTAAAGCTTCGTCAAAGGTAAAAGTACAACATTTTAGATGGATATATGTTTTCCTAGTTACTCTTTAATTTCATTATCGTGTTGGATTCCGATCCATATTTGAACTACAAGGTAACCAAAAAAGTTCTGTCCGTTTTTAAAAGAAAAAAAGAAAACGCTTCACAGTATACCTAACTTATATTTAGTCTTCGAAGTAATCGCCATCGGCATCCAGCGCCTTCTGCCAACGTGTCTCCAGCTATTCAATGCCCTTGCGGTAGAACTCGGGGGGGGGTTGACGCAAAGAAGTTCGTGAGGGCCTTGCGCAAGTCTGCTTCATTGGTGAAGGATTTCCCACGAAGATGATTATCCAGGGAGTGGAAGAGGTGGTAATCGGATGGCGCAAGGTCAGGGGAATAAGGTGGATGGCACAAAGTCTCCCACCCAAGCTGCTGTATGGTATGCCTGACCACTCGCGCGACATGCAGCCTGACGTTGTCATGGAAGAAAAGCACACCTTTGCGATTCACCAGTGCTGGCTCCTTCTGGCGCAATGACTGTTGCACACGTTTCAATTGCTGCGAGTATAGGTCTCCAGTGACCGTTTGGCCCGTTGGTAGCAGTTCATAACGAACCACTTGACGACCTGCCTACCAGACACAAAGCATAATCTTGCGTGGGTGCATAGGCGGTCTTGCGGTGTGAGGGACAGCATCCTGAGAAGACAACCAATGTCTGGAACGCTTGGGAGTTTCGTACAGAACCCACTTTTCATCACTGGTAAGCACTCGATTGAATAAAGATGCGGTACGGTGGCGAGAAAGCAGCGATACACAGGCTGCCACTCGTTGTCCCTTGTGGACCTCAAACAGCGTTCGTGGACCCCACTTGCTCAGTTTGTACGTCTTACCGAGGCGGTGCAGGTGAAGTCTAACTGGTTCATCGGAAACGTTGAACTGCCTTGCAAGTTCACCATATGTTAGCCTACTGTCACCTTCAAGGGCCGTCTTCAGGACTCCATCATTCAAGACCTGTCGTCGTCCACTGCGAGGCTCATCATGGAGAGACAAATCTCTCGACTTGAATTTTCGAAACCAACGCCTTGCAGTACGTTCATCCACAGCACTATCCCCAAACGCTTGACATATGCGGCGACTTGATGCAGCTGCTGATAAGCCCACTTTGAAGTCGTAAAGCAAACAGCCCCGAACGAGATCTCTAGACACTTCCATCTTTCTCACAGCTGTCTGGCTTATAAACGTTGATGGCTGGGCATGGTTCGCGCGCTTTTTATAATGCCTGATATTCCTACTTCCGGCTGTTCGAATTTGAAAACAATTGCTACACGCATTTCGTATATATTTCAACTTCATTCAATGACTAATCAAAAAACGGACAGAACTTTTTTTGGTTACCTTGTATATTTATATAGATCATATATATATATATATATATATATATATATATATATATATATATATATATTCAAACATGATTGATTAAATAATTTAAACATATGTCGATCAGTTTTCATTTTTATCTGAGACCGTCTTCAGGGGGTTTTATTCATCTGTGAGTATGTATATGTGCCTTAGCAAATTCAAAACGTTTCAACTGTTCGTTTTTACTGCTTAGACAGCGTTCTAGATTTCAAAGTTCAAAGTTCACGTGATTTTTTACCAGTATGAGGAAAGTAAATTTTCTATTTTTGCCCTTACATGTATTTGCTATGCTCAAAGTTGACTTTATTTTCGGTTTTAATTCTCTTATATAAAGGGCTTCAACGATTTTTAGTTTTTGCTTGAGTGGGGAAAATTGTGAAAATGGCCTACCTCGGAAACGCGTTCGAATCTGCGCAGTATGTAAACTCTGGTCCTTCCAACTGTAAAAAAGAAAACCAAAATGGCGGCGCCCGCGTTTTATGCCGAGCAGTCTCGGTCAGTTAACGTGAAATCTCGTTGCCTCGTGATTCGCATGCAAATCGTGGTCGGTCCGCAGCTGTATAAAGCAGGCTTGTTTCTGCTGTTTCAAAATGAGAGAGTTTTCGGCTCGTGAGAAGGTTGGACGTGCGACACCGGTTTTCTTTGTGTTCCTACCTGCTATCATCAGTTGAATTGTTGAGTTACACACCACAAGCTATTTCGGCAATGGACAAGTTCGATCTAAAGTTGATCCCAGAATTCGACGGCTCCCCACGGGCCCGACTATCGTCGAATGGTTTGAAAAGGCCGAACGTGTTTGCAGGGTGTCCAAAATAAAGGAACCTGCACTAGTCATCCCACTGAGACTCACGGGAGGAGCCTACGCAGTATATCAACAACTCGGGGACGATGCTGACCTAGAAGAGATCAAGGACGCCCTGTATACGGCCTTTGGAATAGATCCATTCCTCGCTTGGAAACAGTTCGTCGGACGACGGCTCGAGCCGGGTGAGACCGTGGATGTTTACCTGGCTGATTTGCGAAGGCTGGCAGTACTGTTTGGCGGAGCAACGGACCGCATACTGGGGTGCGCCTTCCTGGAAGGGCTTCCCGATGACACCAGTCGGCTCCTACGAGCGTCTTCAAGATTGGACACACTGGGAATTGACGAATTGCTAGCCAGGGCTCGAAACATCTTGAAGGACACTGAACAGATCGCGGCAGCCGTGAGAACGCCTGAGACACCGAGGGAGGGCCCAAAGTGCTACAAGTGCGGTGGACCCAACCATTTCTCTAGGGACTGCCATGTAGCACAGGATTGCTCGGGAAACGAGTCCGGGGACAAGGTGCTGTCGCAACCCTTGCCCCCTCTCGGTCAGTAAATGCGGCATTGCCTGTTGTCAACGTGTACGTTGAGGCTAAACGATGTTCGGCGCTCGTTGACACTGGATGTTCCCGATCGATCGTTAGTGCGGATCGATGCGTGACATGGAACAGTCAACGAATCGAGATTCGGACGATTGACGGGGTGTCCCGGGCCTGTTGTGGTGTCGGGACTGTGTCCGTCCTAACAGACGGAGGGAGTCATGCCAAAGTCGACGTCTTGGTGTCACGTCATAGGCCCCTCGGATACGACCTGCTACTTGGGATTGATGCGATCCGAGCGTTAGGAGGCATGATGATCACGCCAGCCGGAAATGTGGAACTGGGTGAAAGAAGAAAGGTGTGCAGCCCTTTGCGTTAGTGAGCCGGATTACGACGTCTCCTTCAATTCCGACGAGAGAGTGGGACCGCCAGGTGGAAATGGGCCCAAAAGACCTGCCAGTTCAGTTTCGCAACAAGGTCGCTGAGTACAAAGTTCCAGACAGCATCAGAGGAAAATACGAGAAAGAGCTTCAGCAGTGGATTGTGAACGGCTGGCTGATTCCGTACCCCAGGAAAGACTGGGGACCCCCAAAGGGTCTGATTCCCTTGATGGCAGTCGTCAGGAGCAGAAACAGAAGGTGCGTCCGGTACTGATTACCGCGAATTGAACGACTTTGTGGATGCTTTCACTGCCGATGCAGAAGTGTGCGCACATAAGTTGAGAACGGCGGCGGCAGGGAGTCAATGTGTCGCTTCGGATCTGCGGAACGCATATCTTCAGATTCACATCGACGAAGCGCTGTGGCCATTTCAAACGGTTATTTTCAAAGGCCAACACTTCTGTCTTACGCGGCTAGGATTTGGGCTAAATGTAGGCATCATGAAATCCGTTATAGACGCCATCGCATCGCAAGACCGCACAATTGAAAGTGCCACATCAGCATACGTTGATGATATCTTCATTAATGAAAGTTTGACCTCTGCATCGCGTGTAAGACAACACTTACGGTTTGGTGTGCAAGGATCCGGTGCGACTGAGAGATGGAGCAAGAGTTCTTGGCTTGCAGGTCTGGGAAGAAAATGGCACCCTCCGATGGAAACGAGGAAGTCAAATTCCGGAAGTCCCTGATGTGTTGACCGGCGGCGCGTATTTTCGTTGTGTGGGAAACTTGTTGACACTTCCCAGTGTGTGGATGGCTCAGGGTGGCAGTTGCATTCGTCAAGCGCCTGGCAACCGCAGCAACCAATGGATGGGATGATAACATCAAAGATCCCTCTCTGTCGCATACTAGCAGAGATGTTAAGTAGAGTGCGGAACTGATCCAGTCGGAGGAGACTGGTGCATGAGTGGTGACGAGATCACAGTCTGGGTGGATGCGAGTTCCGTGGCGACAGGAGTGGCATTGGAAGTAAACGGAAATGTCATCGAAGATGCGTGCTGGCTGCGTCCGACTAATGATGCCAGGCACATTAATTTGGCTGAACTCGATGCGGCGCTTAAAGGAGTGAATCTGGCTCTCCAGTGGAGGCGACAACGTTGCACTTGGTCACTGATTCGGCGTGTGTGCACCGGTGGATTTCAGACACCTTGACCGGGAAGGCACGGGTGAACACAAGGGCGGCTGGTGAGATGCTGGTCAGGCGACGGCTGGGCATTTTGCGATCGTTGGTGGACGAATATGGATTGACCGTAGACGTGACACTCGTGCAGTCCTGTCAGAACTGTGCAGATCGCCTCACCAGAGTACCGCACAGGTGGCTAGAACTGCTCAAGAGAGGAGAACCGGCACTCGAGAGCTGTGCAGTGGCAAGGAGACGACTGGATGAGGACCAGAAAACTGATTAAGAAAAATACTAAAATTTTCTTTCAAATAATTCTTATTTTCCCAAGTACTTTATTGATTTTTAGATTTTCATATTATTATTTTTATATAATATAGCTATATTTTCAATTAATATCTGTCTAATCTGTGAGTGTGGGCATGAGTGACCCTTTAAATGCTGAGATATTGAACTATGCTCAACCAAATGAATGCAAGCCTTTTTGTTAGCATCGTTGTATTAACACTGACTAATCGATATGATATCGTTAAATTATTTAACCAAACCTGTTTGAATGAAAATACACTGCCTAAATATAAACTATATATATACATACATATATACATATATATATATATATATATATATATATATATATATATATATATATATACAGGGTGCGGCTGGTATTTGAGGACATACAGATTTAAGATTAATACAGCTTCCAACTAACTTCTAATGATTTTATTTTTCAGAAATCAAGAATGGCAAACCCTATGATAACAAATGAAATGAAAAGGCATGCTGTGATTGTGGTATTAAAGGCTGATCATAGCGATTTGGATATTGCACCTTTCCTCAGTTGCAAGATCGTTTGCCCACAAGATACGAAAAGAGTTAGAAGACGCTGACCATTCCCAATATCTGTATCAAAACGTAAAAGACATTCTGCACGTTCCGATAAAGTGGGAATATCCAAATTTATTCAGGAAGTCCAATTGATGAAAAAAGCTGCATGTGTCTGAAAAAACAATCAGAAAAAGTGTTCATGAAGACATTCGATACAAGTCCTATGAGATGAAGAGAGGTCAATTTATGTCTGAAAAAAAAACAACAACAAAAGAAAACCGTTTAAACAGATCCAAAAGGCTTTTAAACAAACTTAAAAATCCTTCAGAAGCTGGTGTGATTTATTTTATCTCAGATGAGAAAAATTTTGATCAAGATCAAAAACTTAACAGAAGAAAGGACAGATGGCTTTGTTCAGATCCTTCTGAGGTGCCAAGAGTGATGCGAACAAAATTTCCTTCAAGTGTTATGGTATTGGGTGTTGTTAGCAATGAAGGACATGTTATGCCACAATACTTTTTTCCACAAGGTCTTCGAGTAAATGCTGCTGCTTATATTGAGGGTCTAGAAACAATTGTCAAGCCCTGGAGTGACAACATATGCAACGGCCAGCCTTACATATTCCAACAAGACTCAGCTCCATCACACAAGGCTCTACGAATACAAGAATGGATGGCTGACCATTTGTACAACTACATCACACCCAACATTTGACCTCCTAACTCTCCAGATCTCAATCCACTAGACTATTATGTGTGGAGCGTTGTTGAGAAGAAGGTAAATAAACAGCCTCATAACACCAAAGACTCTCTTAAAGCTGCAATAGTTCGAGTAATGTCTGACATAAATAAGGAACAATTAATCAGAGCTTGCAGACGATTTTGACCTTGTGTTGAGGCAGTTATTGATGCTAGTGGTGGTTTTATTGAATAAAATTACATAATAGTTAGCTAAATTTCATGTTTACTTGCTTCTAATCAAATATAGTTATATTCATTTGTTCAGCAAGTTTTTTTTTACTAATCCATAAAATTTATCCGCAAATAACAGGCGCACACTGTATACACACACACACACACATATATATATATAAATATATAAATATATATATATATATATATATATATATATATATATATATACGGATTACATTTGTCTTTCCGAAAATAACAGTGTCTGTGGGTGGGTTGGTGGGTTTGGAGCAAGAATCGATAAGGAACATTGTTTGTGGTATGTTCCTGTTTAAGTTTCTAATACATACATATGTTCATACATGCATGTATATGTATATTATTTTTACAGCAATATATATATATATATATATATATATATATATATATATATATATATATATATATATTGTATAAAAAACGAAGAATTTGCCGGCATATGTTTATATGGACATTATCCTTGTTTTGGTGTGAGGAATCCGACCACAAAGTTTGTAAAAGTATTTCATGCAGCACACACACACACACGCACTCAGATATATATATATATATATATATATATATATATATATATATATATATAAAATAAAATGGCTTAAACAATAATATTCCATGGTTATAATTTATTACATTAGAAGAGTAAGTACGATCCAATTCATCAGACCTAAAAATTCAAAAAATCTATCCTCTTGGAATTTTTTTTATATATATGTATGTGTATGTATGTATATATTTATACATTTTATGTATATATATATATATATATATATATATATATATATAGAGATGTGCGTGTGCGTAAATATTAACTACTGATTATCTATATATATATACATACATACATACATATATATATATATATATATATATATATATATATATATATATATATATATCAAGTTTAAGGTGAAGTTCAATTTAAATTACATGAATCATTCATACAAAAAAACACATATAGAAGTTAATGATTTAAATGGCGAGAATACATCTTCGCAAACAATTTTAATAAAGTACACTAACCCCGAACCTCTATATGAATGATTTGATCCCTGTTTATAAATTCCAGTTGCATAAGGTCATTTTTAGTTTTAACCAGCTTTCGTCTGTTCCTACAGACATCCTCACGTATGGAAATAGATTTGTTCTTGTTTTTGTATGAATGATTCATGTAATATATATATATATATATATATATATATATATATATATATATATATATATATCCATGTTAAATGAGGACGAATAGAGTCCAATTTCAACGTTCGTAACATTCAATTTAAAAGAGTTCTCAATAGAAATCAGTGCAATATTTTTATTTTAGGATTTTACAAGGAAAACTTGTGTCAAAAAAAACGTTGATATGCAGTCGTGTTTCGATGCGAATCAACGCATCTCATCTGGCATCTGATGACATGCCTTGATTCGCATCGAAACACGACTGCATTTGTGCAGTATTTTTGACGTTTTTGTTGCAATATCCTAAAACAAAGAATAAATATATATATATATATATATATATATATATATATATATATATATATATATATATACATTTATATATTCACATATATAATATGTGTGTGTGTGTGTGTGTGTGTGTGTCTGTGTGTTTCCTAGGTATGTCAGCATAATTTTGTTGAAAAAAATATCCTGAAGTTATCTTTTAAAATACGTGAACAATAACATTTTTCTAAAGTCTATGTGGCGCCATTGTTCAAGAAACTTACATAGTCGATATAAAATTCAGAGTTGCAAGATTAGACGCTGTTCTGCTACTGCAGGGAATAAAGATATGGGTTTTTGGACAAAAGGGCGCAAAATCCAAAGCTGAAAACGCGCAATATCTTCTTTTTTTCAGCTTTCTTGAGGTAAAGACAAAATAAAGCCGTCTGTTGTTGTCTATTCACCCGACATGAATACGTATTCAGCAGAAAGAGTATTATCTAGTCAAGCCTGAAATCTCCCCATAGCGTGAAGACAATAAGGCCCGTTCAGTTAGCAACCCTGCATCACGAAAGGAGTGGAATGTTCATCGTATCGTTCCTGAATATGTAAACTGAAAAGAAAAATAAGATTTTCTATTAGGGAGGCACTAGACCCGACCTTAGGGCGCCGGGTCACGGAAAGTACAAACTTGAATGTCAGAGATGGGAATTTATGACAAACATCTAAATATGTCAAATTCGAAAAAAAAACACACAAAAAAACTGATTCAAAGCCACTATTTACATTATTCGGACTATTGTCCTCACTTTTTCGCCATGTTTATCTCAACGTTTCGGCCCTTCAGTATCTGTCTATATTTCTGAGATGAGGTATTATGTCCACTATTTACATTATTCGGACTACTGTCCTCATCTTTGTCACCATATTTATCTCAACTTTTCGGCCCTTCAATAACTGTCTATATGTCTGAGATGAGGTATCATGTAGACTATTTACATTATTCGGACTATTGTCCTCATCTTTGTCGCCATATTTATTGCAACGTTTTGACCCTTCAGTATCTGTCTATATTTCTGAGATGAGCTATTATATAGACTATTTACATTATTCGGACTATTGTCCTCATCTTTGTCGCCATATTTATTGCAACGTTTTGACCCTTCAGTATCTGTCTATATTTCTGAGATGAGCTATTATGTAGACTATTTACATTATTCGGACTATTGTCCTCATCTTTGTCGCCATATTTATTACAACGTTTCGGCCTTTTAGTATCTGTCTATATTTTTGATGTGAGGTATTATGTACACTGGTTACATTATTCGGACTATTGTCGTCATGTTTGTCCCCATATTTATCACAACGTTTCAGCCCTTCACTACCTGTCTATATTTCTGAGATGAGGTATTATGTACACTATTTACATTATTCGGACTATTGTCCTCATCTTTGTCGACACGTTTATCACAACGTTTCGACCCTTCAGTATCTGTCTATATTTCTGAGATGAAGTATTATATACATTATTTACATTATTCGGACTATTGTCCTCATCTTTGTCGCCATATTTATTACAACGTTTCGGCCTTTTAGTATCTGTCTATATTTCTGACGAAATCGCCTCTCTGATTCCTCAATCCAAGCCACTATCCATTACTCCACAGTGCTTTCTTTAATCTAGAAAAAGACCGGGATACATAACGATGGTAACGTGTGTGACGTCCCGCCGTGCTGTCCTGGTCACGGTACCAATTGTGACGTCACTCCGTATGTTTCCGCGCCGTCGCCGTCCTATCCTCTCCTGTGACGACCAATGTGACTTGGTATTGGTCGCGGGACCAAATGTGACGTTCTAACCTTTGCTGATTCGAATGGGAATCTAGTTAGATTCGGTATCAGCCTTGTCGTTCCCAGCTCGCCTCCAACGTCTGGTTACCGAAGTAACTGTTTTGATTTCTAGTCTAACCTACCCACGTTATGATTTGATCTTAGGTAGACGAAATCAATCAGTCGCCGGACCGTAATGCAAGCTGAGTCCGGACAAGGGTAATATCGCACAAGTATATGTAAAAGAAAATAAAGTAATAACTCGAAAAGTTCAAATGTGTTAAAAAAAGGATAACAATATTTTATATCTGGTTGCTGAATACAGGTCAGCATCTTTCTCCCAACCCGCTTATGAATACGTGACACTTTGCGTTTGTTAGGCGAGTCTTAACATTTTAAGTTGTTTGTTCTTTAAAAAACTGGTTCTTGGTGTGTCTTCAGGCGATATTCGTAAAACTTGTTTTGGTGGAGTGAGTCTAAGTCGTTCTTCAAAAATAAATTGTTCTTGGTTAGAAGTTGAGGTCGTGATTGCGTGGGAGATTTCAGTCAGGTTCCTGTGAGGCGGGTCTCACTCTGCAACTCCAACCCAACTGCTCAGCTGCGAACTACGAACTCCTTAATTCAACTCATTGCGACTCTGTTTATATGGACGGCGACCCACACCGGGGTGGGCCTCTCGGGGTTTGAGGTTCCTTGATAATTCTAAATCCGCATTAAGGGTTTTTCTATGTTCTTGATTAGGAAAATTTAGTAATTTCCATTTTTGGAGGTCTTTACTTTCTAGGGTAGGGAATAGTCCTCCCACCTTCTTCTGTTCTCATACTGGTATCTCACCCATACCCTCAGAGGGTGTCAACGGGTTTCCTCTCTCACTCACAGTGGCATCTCACACCGATCCCTTCAGGGGGCGTTAACAGGCCTCCCCTCCTTCTTCACATGATTACCTTCGCCTACCGCTCACGTCAACATTCATCCAATGAGTACCCAGCAGTGTGGGTGCGGCCAGACTGGCCTAGGTTTAAAAAAAATCTTGCTCAAAAAAAAAAAAATTATCTTCCTTTATTTTCTTTTTTTTCTTTCTTTTTCTTCTTCTCGACAACAAATCCTTAGACTCTTATCTTAACCGAATCACCTGGAGTTCGTCAATCAGATTTTCACCAGCATCAAGTCGGTGGTTTAACTGGACGTATTGCGCTACAGCCAATTATTCGTTTCGATAAATAATTTTCTTATCATAGCCAGCTCTTGACACAAAACAGGTGCCTTTTCCAAAGGAAATCTCCGTAGATAGCTAATGGGTCAATCTTTTCTTTCTTTGTAACATTTTTGTTTTTCGGTCAGTGCATAACCTAATTAATTTTTATCTCTCAGTACTCTGCGGGAGGTCCAGAGACATCCTTCTCGCGATCCAATTAATTTTTCTATCGCTTAGCCTTCTGCCTTGCAGGCCACCCGACCGACCTGAAATTTTCACCATTGCCATGGGCAGATTGGCTATATCTTATTCGGTGCGTTGTCATGAATTAAATTAAATCCGCGACCTTACTTTCCTCGCTATTGAGAATAAAATCTTACCACTTTTCTTTGTCAGAAAAATAACATCGCTTAGTGTCCTGTTCGTGATTGCTTCTTATCACCTAAATTTAATTCTCGCCTTCTTCTTTTTTCTTCTTTCTTTCTAACAACCCTAAATAGTGTCACACGTGGTAATAATAACAAAGATGAAGATATTAGTAAGAATATGAAGAATGGAAACAATGAATTTTATTTATGAATCTCAAGTCGAATCGTCGTGGACAAAATATCAAATGTCACGTGGAGGAATTACGCAGTAACTTACAATTCTCCTAATGTTATTCACAGACGAATCTTAATTAACATCAATTTTTAAAATGTTAAACAGAAGAAAAAATAATTTGAATGACAATAAAACGTTTTTAATTTAAAGAAGATCAGACTAGTGGACATTTACATGTATAATTCATTCATAAAAAAATGA